AAACCGGAAGGACAAATACTGCTGTTAGCGGATGTGAAAACAGCAAAAGTCAACAACTACTGCTGTTTAGTGCTGTCAGTCATTCTCCACAGAGATAGAGAAACCCAAAGTTGAGATCCAAACGCGTCCCCACTAAGCTACTTGTAGGGGCTTGTAGCACATTTCTTTCATTGTTTTGGTAATGATGATCTAATGATCTAATCAACACATTCTTATCAATACATATATACGAGTATATATACTCCTTACAATCACGCTTTTCGCGTACACACGTCATTTTAGACATCGATCGAAATGACATGCGTGAACAATTTTTTTTTGGGATAAGAGTAGTTTGGTCCTCGAAGTTGCAAAAAAGGGGTCAAATAAGTCCTTATATAGAAGATTCTGTCCGGACGTGCCATTTGAAGTGGGTCCCGGTGGAATTTTTTGATGAAAATTTTTGAACATCTTATTCATTAAGTCCAGTTTAGTCATACCAAATTTCAAATAAAAATTCAATGGGGAAGACATTCAAATGAATTCTTGAAGATAAATGTGCCGTTAAAAGCGCTGTTATCTTCAGGAATTCATTTGAATGTATTCCCGATTGAATTTTTAGCTGAAACTTGGTATGAGTAAACTAGACTTAATGAATAAGATGCTCAAAAAAATTTATCACAAAATTCCACCGGGAGCCACCTCAAATGGCACGTCCGGACAGAATCGTCTATATAAAGACTTATTTGACGCCTTTTTTGCAACTTCGAGTACCAAACTGACCCTTTACTCATTTTTTTTAAAGATAATTATTATTGGACAATTTTTTTTTTGTTTGACACATATATAAAATAATTATAGTGTGAAAAGCGAATCGCTCCACAAAACGAAAAGAAATTGTCTGTGCATAAACAATACGGAGTATGAGAGATGTGTAATATGACGTGTACAAACTAGATTTCCCTACTCCTTATCAAATGTGTTTCCTCCTTATTTTTGTGTACCATTATATTTGTAACACCACAAAACATTATGAATAGCAATCTCTACAAAGATAATTAAGATAGATAGTTTTACTCTCATTACTTCTCACACACACACACAAATGACATTAAGAGGCCGTTTGGCAACACTATTTTTCGGCTTATCAGCCAACTTTTTCACCAAACACATAACTCTTGCTTTCACGCGTTGAATTGTGTAATAAGCATAAAAAGTAAGTTTGGAGTTACTTTTCTGACTGTACTGGCTGAAGTTACTGTAGATGATCATTTTAGCTATTTTTATATATAACTTTTCCTTTATTTTATTAGAAATAATTACATAAATATGACCAAAATAAAGACGATTTACAAAAATATGATTAGTTACTACAGTTGTAATAAAACCATAGTAATTCATGTTCAAGTTTTGAACTTAAGTTACCACAACATGTAACTCTTGCTTTCGCGCGCTGAATTGTGTAGTAAGCATAAAAAGTAAGTTTGAAGTTACTTTTTTGGCTGTATTGACCGAAGTTACTGTAGATGATTATTTTAGCTATTTTTATATATAACTTTTTTCTTTTTTATTAGAAATAATTATATAAATATGACCAAAATAAAGATGATTTACAAAAGTATGACTAGTTACTAGAGTAGTGATGAAACCATAGTAATTCATGTTAAAGTTTTGAACTTAAGTTACCACTACGTTGTAGTAATGAACAGTCATATTTATGTAAATAAGTTTTATTTTAGTAATATTCTTGTAAAAAACCCATTTTATTAATAAAATATATTTTAAAAATAATTTTTTCTTAAATCAGCAGAATCAGCCAATGCAGCCACTTCAGCCAGAACTTCATAAATTTCAGCAGAATCAGCCAAAACAGCCGATTTTGGTGTTACTAAACGGGCTCTAACAAACTACTTTCTGTAAAAAAAAAAATATGTAAGTGGAAATGTCTTTTTAATGCGAATAAATCTTAGAAAAAAGTATAGAAAACATATTTGTGCTTTGGACCATTTTTCAGATAGGGGCACATGCTTCACTTTTTAACAAAGTGGGACATGTGTTTCAATTCTATTATCACAGCTGAGGCATGACGTCTAATACCGTTAGAAAAATTAACTCCGATTTTCAAAAGTCTCCAAAAATTGAAAGAAAATAATGGGAGGTGCACCTCATCATGGAGACCAAAAAACTATCGTTCTCTTCTGATTTTTCGGCTCTATTTGAATTAGTTTTTAAAAACGAATTCACTAATATCACTTTTTCAGTGGAATTTATGGCGACTGGGTGGCTGAAAACAAAAAAAATGGTTTGGAGGTCTTCTTGACGAGGCGCACCTCCGAGTATATTTCTTTTTTTTCCAGAGACTCTTGAAAACCGAGGTCAATTTTTCTAACGGCGTTAGACGGCATGCCCCAGTTGTGATAACAGAATTGAAACACATGTCTCACTTTGTAAAAAAAATGACACACATCCTATATCTGAAAATGGCCCAAAACACATTTATATTTTCTATACTTTTCCTTAAATCTTATTGTGCAAATTTAGTGTGCATAAAACATTTTTTTATTTAAAAACACGTTTTTTTATAAAGTTGAGATCAGTGCCCATACAGCGGGTTTTGATACCAGGTTTTGATACCATGAGGAGCCTCATCATATATTATCCACACAACTTTTTTTTTGTTTTTTTTTTCATATAACTATATAAGCTTTACTTGTACTTTTTCAATCCCAAAATAATCAAATGTTATGAGATTACTTATTTACTCTGGCTCACAACTTTTATATCTCCTGCATTAAACATGTAGTTTTACTTATTACTATATCATGTTCAGTGGTAGGCAGACCGATCAATGTTCATCATCGTCATCGGTCATCACTCATCACCCCAATATCGCAAAGGCACAAAGATGTACGCAGTCTTACCCATGTACTGAAGCATACAAATATACTGTTTTTGGATGACTCATGGTGAAAATCGCGTTGAAAGTTACATGAACTGATTGCAGCTTCACAACAAAGAAGTATAAACAGTTTGGTGAATCATCTTGGTTTATTCCGATCCATCATACTCCCAAGTCAAAAGATAGAGTTTTTTACTCCATTACAAATAATAGAAATACGGAACGATCAAATGTTTAGTTTTCAAAATTAATTTATCATTAAAACGTTGGAGAATGATGCAACAATTGAAAGTACGTAACTTTCCCAATAACGAAAATCTAGTAAAAAAAGGTCAAGTGTAAGAAAAAATATCTAAAAATACAATATTATTTGACATGAGTTAAGTTAGTAGCATCTATTTTGACATTAAAAAAAGCATATTCTCACTTAGCTTGAAAAACATATTTGTACGTGAGTGTTTTTTTAACGATATCTTTTTTTTTTTTTTTTTACTCCACGTGGTCTGATGAAGGGTGGCTGGGGGAGGGGAATCTGGGGGGCCTTGAATAAATTGGGCTGAAACCCACTCTATTGAGTTTCTAACCCGATACCTCCCATAAGGGAGAGTGACTCGGCGACCAACTGAGCTGGACCGCAGCCTCATTTGATCTCTCATAATGATATAAACACATACATTCAATATAATTTTCATGTTTTATCTAATGAGTATTGACCAATTAAGTATGGTAATTAAATATTTACTCATTTGATGACAAGTTTAATGGAGAATTATGATTAGTAAATTAGTAAATTAGTAAATTATGAAACACTATTAATTATCGTGCTTTCGAGAATTTCTTCCCAAAAGAAAATCGTGCTTTCGAGAATGAATATAATAATAAAAATATAATAATAATAATAATAAAGCAATAATGTAATTATTAATAAATGCAAAAAATGTACTCGGCAATTTTCAATGGTAGAAAATGCTGCAGTTAGATTAACGGTGACATATGTAGTACTACCTTCGTCTCAAAATGATGGTCCTATATTTCCTATTTAGGATGTCCCAAAATAATAATCACTGATAGGTTATTAATCTAGAGAGAAATGAGAGCTAGAGAGATAAAGTGAGCAATTAATATTTTTCAACCCCCTATAACTACCCCTAGGAAGCTATTTATAGAAGAAAATGTTGATTTGGGCTCATAGCCTTGGGCTTACGAGGCCCATTACAATAATAAGGTCTCTAATGAGCTGATTACATGCATAATTTGGCTAAGTATAAAAATTTATTCTATCAGAGTATTTCTAGCCAACGGAGGGCCAGGCTGAAGGAGTGCCTGGCCAACAGAGGACCCATTTTGCTCCTGGGCCTCTGGGCTATATTCTAAGTATCTTTGGTATGGAGTGCCATCTGGCCAACGGAGTGCCACGTGGGTGTCAGTCTACTGTGTTTAATCCTCTTGAGTATGTTGGTCATGTGGTCTGGGCCCATATACTCTATCAATCACATTTTGTTTTTTGGTAAAGAAATTGAAGTAATTTACCATTTATAGCCCTAATTTTTAATAAATAGTAAAAAGTAAATGTGTGAACAATACAATAAAGTAAAGTTATATGAGTCCTCCTACCACTTTTTCTTAATATTTAAGCTCAAAAAGTATAGAACCTTCAATTTGGGACGGGAGAAGTATTAAATTTGTAGTGACTCTCTTAAATTTTCAAGTTTATTCTCTTAGTCACATTTTTATCCATATACAACAGTAATTATATTTTTTAGAATTTAATCTTAATATAGAAATATTAAGAGAAAAATATCTCATAAGTAATAACAATCCTCATAATAGTAATCATACAGTCTTAGTAATCAAATTACTTGGACTGTAATTTGCCCCAGACCAGACCAGACCAGACCAGACCAGTTCAGACCATACCAGACCAGACCAGACTTGGATAATTATAAAAATACAAAGAAACCAGACCTTACCAGACCAGACCAGTTCAGACCAGACCAGATCAGACTAGACCAGACCAGACCAGCAAATTACCGTCCAAGTAAAATAATCCTTAGAGACAAAATAATGTGGACCATTGGATAGGGAGCTAGTCTCCCAAGTCTTCCTCCATAAGACTCAATAACCCAATTCCAAAAGTCTCTACATATTACAGACTTATAGTAAACGCGTCAATTTTCTAACACAAACCAACCCACCACAAAAACACATATGGCCGGCTCCTCGCCGGAAAATCCATCTTCCGGCAACTGCTTCTCCGGCTTACTTACTCTTATTCTATGCAGTAAGAGTCTTCCAACTCATCCCTCCGATCAACTTCCCGGCGCTTACTCCCACTCCCTCCCCGCTGATCACCAATCCTCTGTAAAATCCCATCACCGTCCTGACTCCAAAGCCGCCCCAGGAACCACCGCCACTACCACTCCGGGGGTAGTGGCGAGGTTAATGGGCCTGGAATCCATGCCGGACTCCTCTTCCCCGGGAAGCCGGAGTTTCGGGTCGTATCTCCGGAGCAGATCAGTTAATTTCCTCGATTACTTCCCTCAGATTGATGTAACAGGGGAAGCCCAGCACAGGCGAGTCAGAACATCTCCGTCGTTTCGCGAGGCGGATTTCGTGGTTCTGTGTATCGAATCCCGGGATGCGGCGGTGCCCGGAGAAGAGGTGGCGCCTCTGGTGCCTTGCACCGCCGCCCGGAGCTTTCATGATGTAAAGACCAATTATAAGGCGGAGAAAGCAGAGCAGAAGGTCAATGTTGTGAAGAATAAGTCAGCTGAGAAGAAAATAATAGCGCCGCAGGCCAGGAAGAGGAATGGTAGTAATGTTAATGTTAACAGAAAAGGGAATTTTGCGCTGAATAAGAAGAAAAGGGCCGTTAAGAAATCTGCAGGAGAATCCATTAGAGTTTCTGCAGAGTCGAAGCCTAATGGGAACGCGAAGAACATAAAAGGCGGCTCATCAATTCTGGATAATCATTGTCAAAGTTCTCTGACCAAGTCAGGTAAGATTCCACTATCTCTCTGATCAAATCACTCACATTTTACCACTTCTTAAACTCAGATTGTATGATTACGTTCTCTATCACATTGTACAGAGTACACACCAAAGTTTTACACGATCGGCTAGACAGACAATTTGACCGGTGTTTTATTAAAAAAACTAATTTTCACACAGATAAAAATAAAAAAAAAAATTCTGTATCACAAACTCTTTGTGAAAAATTCCAGTCTAAAACGTTTGTGATACAGATAACTCTTTATTTTTTGCCTGTGCGGAAATCGATTTTCTTTATAAAACGTCGGTCAAATTATTTGTGTAGCCGGGCAAGTTGTCTGTACATCGGCATGTAACCCGACGTGTACACGAAGCGGGACTCATCCCTAATAACTTGAATCGATTGGCATGTTAAAAATTACATTGTCCAATTTAGTTTTTTCGGGAAATCCCACTAAGTTTGTCACATGTCAAATTTGGTAGAATTTGTTTAGCTTAAATCATTTTACTTTATTCTTACATGATTAGTCTCTTCAAATGCAATCTGATTATGTCTGGTTTGAAACTAAAATTAAAATACAATCTGATTATGTCTAGTTTGAAACTAAAATTAATTGAAATGAAAACATAATTGGCGCATATAAGTCCAATAAGGCATTTGGTAAAATTTTGAAATATGTGAAGTGACTAATTTTTGCTGATAGTACTGAAAGCTATGGTTGAATGGGTCCAATGAATTCTGAATTAAAAAAAAAGTACTTCGTAGTTAATATAATTAGGGAAAAACATTTGCAGAACGCGATGAACGTTATTGTTATCAACTGCAACATTCCAAGAAACTTTTTATCAATACTAACAAAATTAAGTTGCACGAAGATTTATTTCACTAGAGTAGTAAAAAATTAATAACGAAAAATAAGGATGTTGAGTGCTGAGTTTTAAAATCAATTCCTTCATGAATTGGGATGTCACATTTTGGAGTGTTCTTCGTTGCAGATAAATCTGGGAAATTGCAAAAGCGCTCAAAGAAGGAACTTCACAAGCCCAGCTATGCAGTTCATCACCATATGAGAAGAAAGGCCGATAAGGCTTTCATCACCGACAAGGCGTCGAAAGCAACCGAAGGAAACGTTTCCGGACCGAGGAAGAAAGATGTTTGCGGCGGTTCGAGCGAGAATGGAGTAGAAGAGATCTATAGATTGGCAGCAGATTTTGCGGCAGAGTTTTGGTGGATATGTGGTGGCATATTCAAGTTTAAGGATTTGGAGGAGTTTTGCATGCATTTTAGCAAGCAAATTCTAGATGTTCTTTTAGATGATGTTGTATTTGAACTTAAGTACTTAACTATTGTAAAATCAAGAAAATAACTTTGTAACTAGGGCTAAGCATAACCCGATCCGGCATTCCGGCCGATCCAATTTGTAAGATTTCCGGATATGAACCGATCAGGGTGAGACATTTGGAAATATTTTGGGATGGGATATTTGAATTTTTAAGGCTCATTTGCTACAAAAATAAAAGTAGAAACCCAAACATTACTAGTACGTTGTTATATATCTTCGTCTGCTTTTTGACTGCCAGTAAATAAGGTTGTTGCAGGGTGGTATAGTCAAAAAATGGATTATAGGTTGGCAAAGTTTTACAGGCCCGCTTCAATCACTAGCCATGAGGCCCATGATGCATATCGGTGATCCCGATGACAACGCCTCAGGGGTCATCGAAAGTAAAGGCGGGTCGGTTGCCATTGATGTGGTCAAATACGAAGTATATGAAAGGTCTCGGTGCTGATCGTGCGCGTTCTGGTCGTGCCAGTGTTACGTTCTGGTTGTCATTTTTTTGTTTTCGGGTAATGGTTGTTGTGCTTTGGTTTATTCTCATATGGTGTCTTTGGTTACGAGTATGAAGACCGATATGGTCGTTAAGGCTTCAAATTGTCCAATACATGATCAGAGATTCACGTTACTTTTATAGTTTTATGTCTGATCATAGGACTTTCATATGACTTGTTATTTTGTGTAATTGTATATGTCCGAGTTCAAAATAATTTAACGTATACCTTTTATCATAAAAAAAACCTAAGGCATAACAATAGCTAAACAATACTTATTTTCCCTATATTTAGGCTATGTTTGGCACATCGAGCTGGAACTGGAGGCTAATGTCTGAATTAGAGGCTATTGTCTGAATCAGATACTATTGTCTGGAGCTGGATTTTAAAGTGCTGAATCTGAATTGCTAGCTGAATGAAGTAGATCTGTTTGGCAAAAAGTGCTGAAAAAGTGCCGCAATAATATAAAATTACATTAAAGGACATATGATTTATTAATAGATAAAAATATTTATTATAATGATTTTTATCTTTGACCCCTTTGATATATGTATGCGTGTTCAAAGCAAATGGGCAGAGAACCATTGTTGGTCTTCATCAGATTACTTCCATTACATCCACTTGTTATTATGCATGCAGAAACAAATTTTCAATTAGGGACAAGTGAATTGGTACCTAAGTACCTTATAGCAGCGAATCCAAATGAAAAATATATGGGAGGAAGAGGTGATTATACTAGGGAAAGAAACTGTTGACGATGCTCTGTGTACAGCCAAAAAATCTCAGATATATGCGCTGTGGGCACAGGGTAATTCAGGGATAGGAAGATATTATATAATCGGCTTGCAAGAAACGCTAGGCTTACAAACGTTTTAATTCAGCCTGGTTTTTTCACTTTCAGCCTGGTTTAGACTTGCCTCCAAACAGGGCTACTTAATTAATCATTAACTGAAATTAAGAAATTTCAGCCCATAATTGACTGAAATGCATCGCCAAACATAACCTTAAAAATGCATCCCAAATCTAAAGGATCCAAAAGATGTTGTTATCCCTAAAGCGTTGGTAGATTATTAGCTGATTGCGTATTTGAGTAAGTCGAGAAAATGTTTCTCCCTTGATTTTTAGAGTCCTTGTCTTTATTTTTGTCTTCAGCTGATTCAATATGAGTATTTTCCCTAATTTTGACTATTAAAACTTTTACCCGTAGTACACTTTGTTAGACTGCTCGCAAACCTGTAGGTGAAAAACCAAATTTGATGTTTTCACCCCTATTTTTGTTGCAAACCAGGTATTTGTGGGTGTCAAAACTGGTTGAATAGCACCAATTGAGTGGGAATTAGGCAGTTGATTCATGGTGAGAGAAATTGCTCCAGCATCACACGCATGGATTCCAAAATGTGGGGGTCATGAATATTAAAAACTCCAAATTTCACACTTTCCTTTTAATAAACTTTACACGTTCCTTTTTTGGACGGTCTAAAATAAACTTCACACTTCCTTATTTCATTTTTTGGTAGGGGTGGGCAAAAATACCGAACCGACATGGTACCAAACCGAACCGATATGGTACCGGACCGAAAAACAGGGTTTGAAACGGATCTCATTTTTTTTTGTCCCGAACCGAACCGTACCGATTCTAAACAATGCCATGACCGGTTCTCATAAAATTAGAACCGAAACCGGACCGAACCGGACCGAAGTATGATTTAATTATTTAAATTTACATTCATACCATTATTTTGACTAGTGCCTTTACATTTTCACTGTCTTTGCTAGTTCATAGGAAGCCTGGAATCGGACCGATGTATGATTTAATCATTTATATTTGTACTACTATAATTTATCTGAAATTTATTAATTATGTAATACTACCTTCGTCTCAATTTGATTTGCAAAATTAACTTTTTTTTGTCAAACAGATTCATTTTATTCAGTTAACTAGAATGTCAATTTTTAATTATATTTAATTTGGAGCTTGAACTTTGAAGAAATTTCAATGTAATTTCTGAATATTTTTATTTTAATTATTACAAATTGAATTAATTATCAATGAAGAGAATTTAACTCTAACATTGGCTGACCAAAAAATATTGACTTTGCATGTCAATTTGGGATGGAATGAGTATGAAAATTGATAAATTGTGTAGATTTTTGGAGGACGACTAAATTAATTGTCTCTTAAACACTTGGAAAAAGTGGCATTGTTTGGTATTGGTATGACATGGTACCGTCCCGTTTCAAAATGAAACCGTACCGAATGGGTTTAGGTCTAAGCCCGGACCGAACCGAACCGTTTGAATAGTAACGGTACGGGTACGGGTTCGGCCAAATATTGGACCGGACCGGACCGCGCCCACCCCTATTTTTGGCAAAGAAATCTACATCAAAACAGTGTCAAACAGTGTCTCAACAGTGCCAAACAGTGTCTCTACAGTGCCAAACAGTTTCAAACAGTGCCTCAACAGTGTATTCTACAGTAAAGTCAAATTTCTTTCCTTATTTTGTGTGAAGTCAAACTGTGAAGATTAAAAAAACCGGAGGTAGTATCTTTTTTTTGTTTTTATTACTTCAATTTTTATAAAAAATATAGCACAATTTATAATTTTTTTATCTTTCATATGACACCAGTATCATATACTCCGTATATAAAGTTCAAAAAATAATAATATTAGGTTTCATCAGTTGAAGATTTTTATGTTTATTTTTTTTAAAGTAGATCTAAGTGCCAAAATTAAGATCTCATGAAAAAAATAAGTTTTTACTATCTTGTGGTAATTTTTTTCAAAAACTGATCTAAATTAACAATAAAAAAATTAAACTCCAAATTTATTTATTTTTACATCTTTGAAATGTTCGTCTTTTAATATCATAATTATTCATAAAAAATGATTAACAAAAATTAATTTATAATAATAAAAGGAAGGCTTTAATTAAAGAAAAACTTTGACTCCATCAATTGGCTCATGAGAAATGCTAGGTGTACACAAAATGTGTACACCTTTGGCACACCATATAAAAGGGCTCTCTAGTTTTACCGTCTTTTACCCAACCTTCTCTCTGGTTTCTCTCTGCCTTCAGCTCCTCGCTCTTCCGCTTTATTTTTTCGTTTCAGCTCCATTTTTCCTTTCCTTCTCTTCTTCATTTCAAAAGCTCTTTCCATTCATGGAGGTCTTAATCCTAATATAAGAGCACCCCATTTCTTTTACTTCTCGTTGTTTCGCATTTGAGTTGTTTTTTGTTTCTCATTTCATCTCTCAAAGCCCTAGTCCGACTGAAACGCCATAACCGAACAACCCACGAAACTTTTGTCTTGCGGTCTGGTGAAGGTCAAGTGTACAAGGAGTGAAGTTCTGGTGCCCGAATGCCTCATCCCTCTCTTCTATCTCTCTGGTCTGCACCCTTCCCGTCCAATATGTCCCCTTCTTCCTTATTTCGTTTTTCTTTGATTTAATTTATTTATTTTTAACTTCAGGTGTAATATATGTAGTAATGTTGAATGTTTGATTATTTTGTGTCATTGTGATAAATTTGTGATGTTAAGTATGGAAACTTTTGTCCAAATATTCCATGTCATTACTATGCCCATAACATGTTTGTTGAAATGATTCAATGAATTTTATGTTTATGTGATACTATGTTCGATGACTTTTAGATTTTGTTTTATACTTTTCCAGTTAAAAATAGGTATCATGGTGTTTGTTTAACTATTTACTATTTTATTGTTGTGAATTTGTTATTTTTATTTTGAAATTCAGTGTTAAACCTTAGTAAAATTAGGGGTTTTAGCAAAAGAGTTACAAATTGGCCACGGTTTCTGAACTGGAAAGTGTGAGGGCAGAATTGGAGCAACCCCATTCAAGATTTTGTGAGAGATCGATGGAGCTGTGAAAAAATAGCAGAGGAAACAGTTTCATCCAGAGGAGTTGAGGAGACAATGGAGGATTTGACTATTGAGGTCATACCTTGAAGCAATCCCTAGAAGCAGGGCATGCTGCACAACTTCTAAATCATACAAATTGACAAATTAGGAGAATGAACCAAAAAAATCATGGATGTAAAAAGTTCATAAATGTCTGTGATGTTTTAAGTAGATGTCTGTCATTCATATTTCTTTGTCTGTCATTTGTTTTGAGTTGTCTGTACTAGTTTGAGTTGTCTGTAAAACCTTTATAAATGTCTGTGATGTTTTAAGCAGATGTCTGTCATTCATATTTCTTTGTATGTCATTTGTTTTGAGTTGTATGTATTAATTTGAGTTGTCTGTAAGGAGTTTATAAATGTCTGTGATGTTATAAATAGATGTCTATCATTCATATTTCCTTTTCTGTATGTCATCTGTTTTGAGTTGTTTGTAAGGACTTTATAAATGTCTTTGATGTTATAAATAGACGTCTGTCATTCATATTTCCTTGTCTGTCATTTGTTCTGACTTGTCTGTAAGGAATTTATAAATGTCTGTGATGTTATACATGGATGTCTGTTGTTCATATTGACTTGTCTGTCATTTGGCCAGGAGGGCCAAATTGGTGACAGGCAACATGTATCATATCAAAAATCGTGCATGAAGTAAGTGTTATTGTGTTTCCCACTTTAGAACATGTTTCCTCTTTCTTTGGATACTTAAGTCCATACATGGAGTTGACCGGACAAGTGTGTGCATTGTGTGGTAGCATACTTTGAAATTTA